CTCTAACCCCAAATCTCCAAGTATTTCCCAACTCAGAGCTGGCAACCCTACAAGCTGTAGCATTCACAGAACTAAGGAAAGGTCACCAAAGGTCTTCTAAGGCTCTGTAGAACTGTGGCAAATGGTAAAATATCCCCCACCCATTCCTGTGCAATCCCTGAGTTTGCAACCAAGCTCTGGAAAACTTCTCAACCCAATGCCAATAACCTGTTTATTTATTTACTTCATTTATACCCTGCCCAAAGTGGTTCATTTCTCTTCTCTTCCATTTTATCTTTACTTCAACCCTCTAAGGTCAATTAGGCTGAGAGTGCGTGGCTGGCCCGAGGGCACCCAGTGAGTTTCCGTGATAAAGCAGAGATCTGAACTTGGATCTCCCAGATCCTAGTTTGACTCTCTGACCACTACACAACTCTCAATCTCTGTCTCTCTCTGCAAAGGCTTTTATTACTTTTCATCCTAGCCTTTATTTCCTTGAGCCTCACATGCCTCAGTGTGTAATGAATTTGCATCATGCAAATCATGTACACTGGAAAACTCAAGACATTTATAACTTGGAGAAGGTGATTGATGGCACTGCCAAAGGGGTACCAACAAAAGCATAAAATATAATTTTTTAGTGATATTGTAAAAGGGCACTTAAAACGTTTGGATAATGGTGGTATTTACTCATATAGATGAGCCCCCCCCCTCTATTGACACTGACAATCATAAATTAATTACCATTTGAATGGTGGGGGGAAGTTTGATCCTTAAATTGGGTTATCATCTTGATTAATTTAAGCATAGGCACACAGAAGGGTTCGATTACAGGAATAACTGTTTGTAAATCTTATAACCTAAATCTGGAATTAGGATAAAATCCCCTTTCGACTGGTATTTTTGAATAAGATCTTTTTAAACACTTCAAAACATAAATATAATACATTTAAACAAAAACAAATTTGAAATATAGGCAATAAAATATTTTTTAATAAAATACCATTTAATATTTTATCTAAGAAGCAACCTGATGGCTGCTGTTTCACGTTGGGGCTGGCAGCTCCCCTGCCAAGACAAACAGCCAGCTTTGCACTGTTTGCCCTGGGAGGAGGGGGAGGAGCCTCGGCGTGTCTGGTATTTTTAATAAAGAATCTGGCAACCCTGCTTACTTCATAAACTCTGAATAGCACAAGAACCAGGGTATGTGTGTGGTTATTATGGAGCATCAGTACAGACAGAGATCTTGCTGCCTGTTCATGTAGAGGGCTGATCCTCTTCCCCTGGGAAAGACTACCCAGCTATGGGATATTTATAGGGTTGCCAGCTCCAGGTTGGGAAATATCTGGAGATTTTGGGGGTGGAGCCTGAGAAGAGTGGGGTTTGGGGAGGGGAGGGATGTCAGGGGGTCATAATGCCATTCCACCTTCTAGAGCTGCCATTTTCTCCAGGTGAACTGATCTCTGCTACCTGAAGATCAATTGTAACAGCAGATCTCCAGCTGCCACCTAGAGGTTGGCAACCCTAGATATTTGCCTATAGCAGGAGTCCCCAACACAGACACCTGTCTTAGTGCCTGCCAATTATTTTTAGAAAGTGGGTGAGGCCTGGTTGGGCTTTTGCCCCACAGGGCTTCTTGTTGGCTATTGGAGATCTCATTGGCTGAGCAAATGGAGAGAGAGAGAGAGAGAGAGAGAGAGAGAGAGAGAGAGAGAGAGAGAGAGCTTGTAGCAGCAACTGCCACAATACAATAATCTGTGGGACAATGGAGGAGATGAGAATGATGTTCTAAATGGAAAGCAGGATATAAATCTCCCTTATAAATAAAAGCCGAATGGTGGTGGCACTTCTCTAGAACATTCCACACGCTCCAAAATCAGTTCGCTCTCTGATCTGTCATTCAGAGGGTCTCCCTATCCACTGGCTGCTTTGCCTGAGTCCTGCCTCCAACATTCTAAACAGTTTGCTTTTCCTCTCCCCCCCCAATAGCCAGTCAGAACACAGAGGTTATTTGCATATGTAGCCTCATTGGCCTTTGCCTCGAACACAGAGGTCGTTTGCATATGCAGCTTGATTGGATTTTGCCTCTTTCTAAACAGTTTGCTATTCTGAGGTAAAATGTGTCCAATCTCCAGGTGAGGGCTGGAGATCACTCAGAATGACAACTGCTTTCCAGATGGCAGAGATCAGTTCCCCTGGAGAAAATGGTGGGCTCTTTATCCTTATATGCTGCTGAGGTGGCCTCCGTATGACAGCCAATGTGACTTAGCAGTCAGGGCTTCAGAGCACGGAAGAGGCTGCAGGTGTGTGGGGGGTGAAAAGCTGAAGAGTGAGGGGGAAATAAAGGTAGGTTGACGATTGGCTGGGAAGGAGATATGGTTGCCAACACCAGGTGGGAAATTCCTGGAGATGTGAGGGATGGAGCCTGGAGAGGGTGAGGTTTCAGGAGGCGTGGGACCTCAGACAGGTACAAAGCCATAGACTCCATCCTCCAAACCAACCATTCCCTCTGGGGAACCATCGTTGCCAATCTCCAGGTGAGGGCTGAAGATCACTCAAAATTACAACTGTTCCTTAGGTAGCAGAGATCAATTCCTCTGGAGAAAATGGTGGACTCGGTGTCATTATACCCTGCTGAGGTCGCCACAGCAAATTGACACTGAGTGTCCAAGGCCGGGGCACCCGCCCAGAGCCTCTTTCTAGAGGCCGTTGTATTTATTTCCACAACGGGCCTTTTTCCTAGTTAATAAATAAATGCGGTTGCAGCCACTTTGTGGTTGGCTCTGCCTCCTGTGGCAACCCCTCCTTCCCATTATGTGTCATGAATGCCCAAAGGCTTAAAACTGTGGAGGACCCCTGCTAGATAGTCACGGATGTTAGGGAAAAAAACGTTACAATGTTTGGGAAATGATGATAATAATATTTAACAAGATGAGCCCAAACCTGCAATGTATATTTCTTGATTATGTAAAGAAAAACAAAACAAAAAAAACCCACAACCATACATAAGTAGGACCCTATATTGCATATACTGGTAGCAGCATTCTTGGGGCTTGCTTTGATCGCACAAAAAGGGGGATTCTGCCTTTCTCAAGGCCCTTTTTCACATGGCGTTTTGCTCAGGAGAATTCTTTCAGTGTCTGAATTAGCCATATGTGACATGAAATATGAATGCCAACCCAAACCAAGCATAATTAGTACATCAAATGGACTGAGAAATAAAAAAATGCTGCAGTTCTATAAATACAGCTATAATATAATCAACTATCTATTTAGCCTCTGTTTTCCTATCAGTTATTCTTAGTACAGATATGACAGGCAAGGAGATTACTGCAATCAGAACTGGAGATGATTGGAATAGCAACAGGGTTGTAACTAATAAATTGTAATAAAGAATAAGCAGAGAGAAGCAGTAGGATTTTTACAGGACAAAAGGGTTGAAATAGGTCACAAAACTATGCTAGAATGGCTTCGGTGGCTAATTATGCTAAATGCTCACTAAGGGTAAGAGGGGTTGACTCTTCTTCCTATGATGCTCATCTCCTAGCTCAGAGAAAGCTATCGGGCAGTTCTGGTGGAAAGAAGTGCTGCTAAACTCTGCCTCAACTGATAAAACCAGAACTTTTACTAATCAGTTTGGATGGAGCTAGCATCTAGTACTGATGAAACAATGCAGGACAGAACAGTTCAAAACTCTATGGTAGATTTTTGGCCCTGGGCTAGAACACATCATTTGGTTGGTGACACTGTGTTAGATCACAGATTTATCTGGAGTCTGTTGAGGGTATATTTGAGGCACAAAGTCAGTGCAACTCAGGGTAGCAATGCACCCTAAACTGTCCCAATTTATAAGTTTCTCACTAAACTGCAGCAGACTGGGGTTACTAGCTTCTTGTCACCTTGCATTAACCCTTATTATTCATTCTGTGGATTATATATTTTTCATGCTGGGGTTTATAACACAGATTACATATAGGGGTCCTGTGAAACTCCCGGGGGGATCCCGTTCCCCCACACACACTGCTGAGCCAGCGCATCCAGGCCAACCACTCACCTCAGAACCTTGCTGTGGCAGTATCTGGGAGCCTCTCCAAGCCTTGAGCAGCTTCCTGCATGCGCTGCAGCCAGACCCTGAGTGGTTCCATGTGTCCACTGCCACAGTGGCAGGGCCCCAAGTAGCTCCCTGAGTCCACTGCTGCTGAGGTCATGCCCTGAGTGGCTCCTGGTTATGTGTGCTGTGGTGGCAGCCAAAGTGGCTCCCTGCATCTGCCGCAGCCATGGCCAGGCCCTGAGTGGCTCCCTGCATCTCCTGTGGCTAAGCCCTGAACAGCTCCTAATGTCTGCCGCAGCAGCCAGGTCCTGAGTGGTTCCCTGCATCCAGTGCAGCTCCCAGGCTCTACAGAAGCAAAGTAAGTATGTTGTCTGCACATACACTTGTCCTGTAAGCAAAGAATAACAGTCTGGGACTTTTCATCATAGAAGAAGACTACTGAGGGTGGACATGATAGAGGTTTTTAAAATTATGCATGGGGAACCAAAAGTGGATAGAAATAACTCCCTACCCCCAATAGTACTGGAACCCAGGTGCAATGACATTGATGGACAATAGGTTCAGGCAGACAAAATGAAATACTCCTTTACTCAATGAGTAATTAAACTGTGGAATTCCCTGCCACTGGAGGTAGTGATAGCCATAAGCATGGATGCATGCATTAGTTCAACACAGAACACCAAGAAAATCTATGAATTTTGATAAGGGTTTCTGTAAATTCATCTCATGTTCCGGCTTCATTATCTCAGACAAACACTCCAAAAAGAAAGCTAAATCTTCAAACAAGAGCAATCCAATTTGGAATAAACAGCCCCAATAAGCAATAAAATACTTGATTGGAACAATACCAGCTATCACACTAGATTCCACATGAATTGGTTATTAGGTTCCTACTTTCCCACTTAATCTTTGACTGCCTGCTGCTTATACAATGTGAATGTGAAAGATAGTGTGATTATCAAATACCAACCTACTAGGATGAAATAGAGAATTCCTGGCCGATCAGAAGGAGGCTGGATGTTTCGGTCCTGATCTATAGCTTGTATTGGTGGCATGACATTGATTGGGTTCACACGTGCCTGGAATGAAAATTAGGAGTGTTATAATGGAAATCTTACAACACGGATTAAATTTAATATTAAGTCACACCATTGTTCATATTGAATGCTTTAAGAAATTAATGCCCTATGTGCAGATGGAAGTAATGTTATTTCCCAACATATATCATCCTGCAATACAGAGTATTTGAACCTAAATATTAAAAACACAGACATGCCACAGTACAGGCACATTCCAGATCTCTTAAATAGTGGGAATGTCTCTTTTTGTTCACAATTGGATGCCCCCTGTAAAATTTTGTAAATCACTTCCAGAATTATGAAAGGTGTTTTATGTTAAACAAATTACAGGAGACTCTTACCAAAGAGATTTATCTCAAAACAACATATTTCCTTGGATGTGACATTCAGTACCAAACTATAGGCCAAACTGTATTGCAGGATCTTTTACTGTAAATTATGTTCCACTCTTTGGACCAACTACAGATTAGATTGAAACTGCAGCACTGTTGAAAAAGTGATTAACCCTCCCTCCCTTGTGCATTTCCTCCCTACTCGCATTAAAGTTGTGAGTGAGCAATTTGGCCACTGTATAAATTAGTTTGCTCTGGAGCCATCCTTCCTGAGCTAGGACAAAAAAATGTGAGCTGGAGGCTAAAAAAAACTGTGAGCTAGCTCATACTAACTCAGCTTAGAGGGAACACTAGTAGCAACCCTCAAAAGACATAATTTAGATTGGGAAATGGCACAGAATTCAAGATCCCTCCTCAAATGTTGCTTTTTTTCTAATTTGCAGTCCCCAGAAGCTGTCTTTCACTACAAACTGGGAGATCCAGTCACAGTTCTCCCATATAATATGCAACTTTATGCTAAGAGTAACACAAGGTCTTTGGCTGCTTCCATACATTGTTCAGGCACTGCACTCAACAGCTGGATTTTTCCACAAGGACAAGAAATTACTATAGCGTGACAGCAGGACAATATGCAACCATATTTGGATGCAGCCTTTGCTCACAGGGAGACAGAACCGGGGGGGGGGGAACCAGAGGTAGGTGAAAACAGGTGGCAACTGTACTGAATTAATAACATCCAAGAGTTTAGCACTGTTAAACAGGGTCTCAAACATTGTATAACACATCTTGTCTGCTAATAGAATGTGTAACTGCTGGATATGAATTGTGATAATCTTGGTGCAAGACACAAGTTGATGCAGGCTGATGCATGTTCCTCCTAGACATTGCCCTCAGAGTTCAGTCGGTAACTCAGTTTGGGTGCCCCAGTCCTCCACAAGAGGCAAAAATTGTGACTTGAGGCCATGGACCCTAACCTTAACCTAGGACAGACTGGGCCATGATGATAGATGTGACCTCCTGGGAGGGTGGTACAATTTACTGAAAAAGCTCCTGGGACTCTGTTGCCAGTTTTGGTCATAATGACCTCAACTGAAGGCTCTTCCTTCACACTATTCTAACATGGGTAATAGGAAAGGGAGAAACAAACAGTGCCAGCAATCAAAGGCAATGGCTACAAGCCTGATGCCGTACTTAAGGACCCCATTTCCCACTGGAGCATCTCTCTCTCGACAATAATGTAGTTCTATAATGGTATTGTTAATTGTTTTCCATTTAGGCACCTAATTTTAGAGTCTGAGAGTTGTCCCAAGCATTTACCTGAACAAAGACACAGGACACCAACCATATATGGGTTTATATAGGCCCCGGTCACACTGGGGGAAAAGGTGTGGCTGAAGTGCGGCTTTTTTGAGCCGCATCAAAAGAGAAGCGTGGCAGTTGCACCCCGGCATGATCAGATGCCGGGGGGAGGAAGCCACAGATTGGTGAACGAGGCAGCCCGCTGCGCATGTGCACACCTGCGCAGTTTGGCCGGGGGCCTCGCATGCTGCCAGAGACGGGTGCGCCGGTGATCACATGGCCTCCCCTGCTGCAGATTTTCAAGTAAGTAGTAGTGTTTTGTATGGGCTTTTTTGATCCCCATCTTTGGCCCGAAAAGACAGATCGGGGACGGGTGCGCACCGCTTCCCAGATTTTGCGGTGTGATCACGCCCGCTTGATGCACCCCCGATCTGTCCCTCTCGCGGATCAAAGCCTCCCATGTGACCGGGGCCATAGTTTACTTAAATGACTGATTTACATCATAAAACTAGTAATATATCTAATAGGAAGGATGCACTAAACTTGGTGAGTAACCTTGCTGGCCTTGCTTATTCTTCCCTGCACATGGACTGTGCCAAGAGGTGCTAAGCTTTATCCACCTATCCCAATGTGCCTCACAGACAGCTACTGGTTTGGTTGCTGCTGCTCAGTACCAAGGGTACTACTTCCCAACCCTCCCTGCCATACAATGGTCCTTCAAGCTATGATTTCTCAGGTGACCACCATTTTAGTCTACCTATAATGAGTAATCCACCATATTATTGTTATCACTAATTACAGCCTAACCAGTTCACAGCTGAGGTCTACTTATATCGTATCATGGAAGCAACATGAAGCAGGCAAAGTAATGATCCTTTAATGGGCCAATTACAGGGGCCCTGAGGCAATTTGGCCCTGAGGCAACTGGCTAATCTCCTGTTGCCTCATGAGAGAATGGGTAGGTCAACTGCCCGTGGCAGTACCTGCACAGGAGAAACAGAGAGCCGTTATAAAGGCTTCCATAGCTGCACTGCCTTTGGCTGGGTAAATACCACCCCTTCCAATCACCTCCAGTGCCTTATTCAAAGTCAAAGGAGACTGAGACTGTACCATCCCTGGCCTTAACAACTGTTAATGTACCTGCTGGTTAAATCTGAGAAGATCCTTTCAATTTTCTCAAAAGATTGGTCCCCCTGTCCTAGTTTTCAAGCAACTTTGTAATTTAATCAGCCAATTTAATTTCAAAGTTATGTAGCTGCTACAATCTTCATCAACTATTTGTACCACTATAGTTAGCTCTCATGCCTGCCCCCGATCCGGCACCTGGGAGCTCTGAAACGGAGGACTCCGTGCCTTTAACATCATCAGAGGGACGAGAGTCCTTGCCAAACCTAAGTGCCGGAGAGGATGAATACCAAACCCCAGGACAGCTTTCACCTGAAGCCGATCAGGCAGTGCCTGGCCCCAGCAGTACGCCACCCGATTCTCTGCCACCTGTCGACCAGTTGAGGAATCAGAGACGCCGGGACTTGGCAACCAGACGCAAGGAGGTCGGAGAACAAATGAGCCCGGAGTTCTAACAGAATCAAGGACTTCACAAGGCAGTGCTAATGACTTAACGACCCAGCACGCTATTTGAACAGGTCACTGACTTCTGTCAAATCGTGCTGGCAAACTAGTCCTTTGGACCAGAAACTCTGCACCTCTGACGCTGTTCCTAAGATCCCGTACTGACTGACTTCCCGGTTCCTGAATCCAGTCCGCGTTTTGATGACTCTCTGGCTCTTGATCCTCGGCTCTGCACCCTGACATTCGACACTCGCTTCTCTGGACTCTGACCCCTGGTAACGTTCTGACTATGGCTTGGCTTTGTGCATTGGGACGCTGGCTCTGCTTGTTTTTGATCTTCCTGGCTTTGACTCACGGACTGAACTGTAAACTCTCCCTCTCTGCCTGGTACCCTGGCTCTGTTGTGACATTAGCCAGCTATGTTCCTTACGCTGTCACTATCAACTATGGTAAAGGATAATTTAAGAAAAATGTCAACCTGCCCTGACATGGATAGCCCAGGCAGACCTGATCTCACCAGATCTTGGAAGCTAAGCAGGGGCGACTCTGGGAAGTACTTGGATGGGAGACCTCTTTGAAATACCAGGGGTGGGGGATGTGGGGGCAGGCTTTATTCAGCCGCCGCTCTGAATATCCTCCAGGCCCCCAGGAGAGGTCAGTCACCAGAGATCAGCATGACTTCCAGGTGCCATGGGACAGAGCCATCTATGAGACGGACTTTCTTGTTTACCTACATGATTCACTGATGGTTATCCTGCTCTTTTCCTATTCTATCATGTCATATTTATGAGATTTTTAAAATATATAAATATAGGCTCTACATCTACAGTTATCTTAACAGTAATCCCACTGGTTGCGATACATATATGGAGCTGTCAAAATGTATCAGTGTAACCACAAGAAGGAATTGCTTTAAATAAGATTTATCTCATCACTTTAATACACAAAAATCTTGCAATAATATGTATGTGCTGTCAAGCTGCAACTGACTTATGGCAACCCTGCCAAGGGGCCTTCAAGGCATGTGAGAAGTGGAGGTTTTCTTGCTATTGCCTTCCTCTGCAGAGCCTTCCATGGCAGTCTCTCATCCAAGCACCAACTCTGCTTAGCTTCTGAGATCTGATGAGACTGGGCTATACCATGCCAGCTTCCCTCCCCTTTCAATAATAGCTTGGTGTTATGGCAAGTGTGAGTACAAATGAGTGATAAATTTCACAAATGAAATATAGAGAAACCAAACCTTTTCAAATAGCAGGTTTATCCAGAGTTTGGCATTCTCTACTTGTCATACAATATGGCAGGGATACAAACTGTTAACTGTTATTTACAGCCATCATGCTGGAATACATGTGGTATAGCTTAGCAGACCTTAGCAGATAGAAGTATCGTAACATTAATGAGAGTCTCAGGGCGCCTTGAAAAGAAACACAGAAGTTTTTGTGAGCCACAGCCCATGTCATCCGATGCTGAAGTGCTACATTTTGTTTTTAAAGAGAGATGTACACCCAAAGCTACTAACAGCAGACAAGCCACAGGTCTGAGGCCTGTACTTAGTGGAAGAACTCAGTGTAAAAACCAGTCTGAGGTTTGGACTATCTGGGGGAGTCGTTCCTTTCAAAGGGCTGAGAGGAATGTACTGTTCAGTGGTGTAGTGAAAGCATCCCTTTAGCCACCAACGGTGTAAATAAAGGGTCTGGTCACACGGACATTTAGTGCGGGATTCGCTGCTGATCCCTTCCGCATTAAAGGTTCCTGTCTACATAGGCAAACCCGCCTCCCGCACAGAAGCCGGCAGAGTCC